TATTGGCGGACAAGGCGGTTCACCATTTGACTTCACTGGTATCACAAATGGAGCCACACTGAAGAAGATTAGGGTGTGGGTGGGTGGCTGGCAGGTGAAAGCTTTGAAGGTTTGGCTTACTGATGACCAGTCCAAGCAGTTTGGAATTCCTGCTGGGGACTATTCAGAATTTACATTTGAAGATGGAGAGCAGATTACCTCTCTGTCTCTGTGGGATAATGGAGCTGGAACACGTCTGGGTGCCATCAAATTCGGGACAAATCGCCGCCGGGAGTTCTTCGCATACATGACAGAGTGGCCGCTGAAAAAAGAACACCAGGTTGATACTGGATCTGGGATCTGCATGGGAATCAAAGGAGGATCAGGTACAGACATTGATAGATTAGGCTTCGTATTCATCAATACCATCAAGTCTACTGTGTTAACAAAGGTTCAGTACACTTTTCATCAGCTGGTACCCAGTGTGGCTGTTGAGAAAATTGGATCCATGACTTACCAGAATACATTCACTGCACCACAAGAATACAAAACTAAAACCTCAATGAAAATCACCGAAAAGTTCTCCTGGTCTGTGCCTAACAAAATGTCTTCAACCTTCAAGATGAAAGTGCATGCAGGAATTCCAGAGGTTGTAGAAAATAAAACTGGATTCAGTTACAAACTAGGAAGTGAAAGCACATATGATTTGGAGAACACAGAGGAGAAGACAGAGCTGATAAATTTTACTGTCAATATTCCTCCTGGGAAAACTGTGAAAGCAGACATCACAATTGGTCAGGCCCCAGTAGATCTCCCCTATACTGGCACAGTCAAAATTACCTGCCTTGATGACAGTGTTCTGGAGATTCCAACCAGTGGAACCTACAAGGGCCTCACTTACACCAGTGCAAAGGCAGGTGTGAAAGAATTACCATAACTCTTGGCACAGTCAGAATGTATTCTGCTGTCTCTGGGGGGCTTTGGATCAGATCAAATACGTTTCAGGGTTAGAAACACTTAAATTTAAGCCCTGAAGAAGAATACTCTTTAGTGGGACTTTTTTGCTGGAAAGAATCATATTCTATTAATGTTGGTCTGTTACTTTGTGGGTAAAGATTTAAAAATAAAATCTCTTAAGACACTGCATTATTTACCTAAAGACATACAGTCTCCAAAACTACTTTCACTTTTATTGCCTCAGATTCTAAATGTGAACTATATTAAAATACATTTACAAACCATTATACATATTATGTCCAAAAGTCCACAGCCCTTCAACAATTTATTAACCAAAATTATGAGACGTAAAAAGTAGTCATACTGATGGAGTGGAATCTTCACCGTTTGCTGCAGCAGATAACTACTCACCCCACAGCTCACTGCTGTGATCCCAGCAGGTCTGGTCATGATGGTTCCTGGTAGTGAATGTATGAACCAGAAGTGAGAGGAAGATGCCCCAACATCAGAAGGAGGAAGCCACAGTCTGCACCAAGATCATCTTTGGCAAGCAGCATTGGCTTCGTCCTAAGACCCTATTGAAAGCTCATAGCCTGGCTCAGGACCTCATAGTGTTTTGCCCAAGGCCCAAGTCCTGATGCAACATCAAAGTGATGGGCTAGANATAATAAAGTATCATTATATGCAGATGATTTGCTACTTTTTGTTTCTCAGCCATCTGTTTCAATACCACACATTTTAACAGTACTGGATGGCTTTGGGAAAATTTCCGGTTATAAGCTAAACTTGGATAAAAGTGAAGTCTTCCCAGTAAATGAGGCTGCACGTTCCTATCCGCTATCATCTCTGCCATTTAAAGTGGTGAATAGTGGTTTTACATATCTAGGGGTGAATGTTACTGATAAATTTCATTAACTTTTTAAAAATAACTTTGATCCACTCCTATCACGCATTAGAGATGACCTTTGGCGTTGGTCCCACTTGCCTATATCTTTAGCTGGTCGAATTAACTCAGTTAAAACGAACATCCTTCCCAAACTTCTTTATCTCTTTCAGTGCATCCCTATTTTTATTCCCAAGTCTTTCTTTTATAAAATTGATGGCTTAGTTTCACAATTTATCAGGAATAAAAAAGTCCCACGCTTACGTAATGAGGTGTTGCAGAAGTCTAAACCACTTGCCGGAATGGCATTGCCTAATTTTTTACTTTATTATTGGGCAGCTAATTTGCGGTCAGTTCTCTATTGTGTACAGGTTGATCCTGCTGTGTCACCAATCTGGTGTTTAATGGAATCGTTGTCTTGCGCCCCTGCCTCTCTCTCTGCCTTACTTTCCTGCCCTCCTGACTTTAATGTATCCAGGTTCTGTAAAAATATTGTAGTTAAGACCACATTACGGGTTTGGACTCAATTTCGTAAGCATTTTGGAATCCAAACTTTACCAGTATCAATGCCACTCTGCAGAAACCCTTTATTTCCTCCCTCGTTGAATGATGGTGCATTTGAATTTTGGTCATGAAGTGGCATTGTGACTATTAAAGATTTATTTGTTGAGGGTGTTTTTGCGTCTTTTCAACAGTTAGCTGATGGGTTTGGTCTTCCAATCTCTCATTTATTCCAATATTTTCAGGTGAGGGACTTTTACAGGAGAGTATTTAATAGCTTTCCAAATATCCCACCAGACACGCCTATTGACAACATCCTTAAGATACCCTCTACTTTAAAGGGTACTATTTCCACAATCTATAATTTAATATCCTCTCTTTGTTCTACCTCAAACCAGACGTTAGAGGCACTCTGGGCTCAGGATTTAGGTGAAGATCTCACTGACTTGTGGGGATCTGTTCTTGAACGTGTGCATTCCTCTTACACAGAGTTTACTGGACTAAGTCTAGATTAGCCCGTGTATATCCCAATATTGACCCTGTGTGTGATAGATGTCGGAAAAATCATGGCACACTGATCCATATGTTTTGGTTATGTTCTTCTCTGCGCACATATTGGACCTCTGTATTTGCTACGCTTTCGGATGTTTTGCAAATAACCCTCGAACCATCTCCACTTACAGCTCTATTTGGAGTTTTACCAGACAATATTCAAATGTCCAAATCTAAATCAGACTTTGTAGCCTTTCTTTGTTTAATTGCTCGGCGTCTTATTTTGATTCATTGGAAGAAATCACGCCCGCCTTCTCATACGCAGTGGATAAGGGATGTGTTGATGTTTTCTAAGCTGGAAAAGATACGTTACTCTGTTAAAGGGTGTCTGTCCCACTTTTATAGAGTATGGCAGCCCCTTTTTCATCATATTGAATCCCTCACTTTAGAAACCCCAGAGCCTCCCTTGTAAGCAGAATACTTGGGTCATATGTAGACTTATAATATTATGTTTAACCTGTAAAGGAGGAACAAGTCCTGTTCATTAATGTCTGTGTTCTTTATACTTGAGACCCCCCCCCCACACCTTTTTTTTATAACCAGTTTGTTGAATATATGTAAGAAAAATCCTTAAATAAACCATGGGGAAAAAAACAACAACTAAGATGTGTGTTTATTTCACATGCAGGACTGTAACACACTGCTCTTTATAGGGGTGGTCTGTGTTAGACCTGCTCTGCTTTCTGGCATTATACACACATGTTCAGCTTCTATTGAAGCAGTATTAGAATGTATTCACTGATGAGAATTCTAAGCACTCATAAGTCACTCTGGCTAAGTGCGTCTGCCAAATGCCGTAAATGTAAATGTTCTTTTCTTCTGCTGGGGACACAGGAACAATTTACTGTGTTTACCTTACTGTTACTGTGCTGTACTTTCATGTTACTGTCAGAGTTTAATTTCATGCTTATAGGCACATGTCACGATGGGGATCGCGGAAGCAGGAACGGGGAGACGAGAGATCAAGGAATGCTGGTTTATTAGGAATCTAGGTCCACTTCCTTTGCCCTGCCTGTAGTTTACTTCACTTTAATAAAACAGCAATTGGTTTTACCCCACGCCTGCCTTCACCTCTGTCTTTGCCCTCAACCTGATATTGTCTCTACTGCTGTTGATTATACTGACCTTGGTCCTTTTCTCCTGTGTTGCAGCATCTCCCCTCACGTCTGGCTCACACAGCTAGGAGCCTTAGTGATTGTCCTGAACAGGGTCCCCATTTCCAGCTGGGGTCACTGCAGTAAACTGCAGACAAGACTCTGAATGAATGATTATTATTCTTGCAATGTCATGGTGAACTGGCAAACTGTGCATAGTGGATTTCTAGTGTCTGTAGGTCTAACAGCAGCCTTCAAGCTCACTGGAAGTTGTACTTTTATCTGATTTGGGTTCATTTACTCTTGTTAACCAGGGTTACATGCANAAGTCCTGATGCAACATCAAAGTGATGGGCTAGATGTAGAAACCTGAAAGTAAGCTGACTGTCTTCAAGGCAAAGGGACTGGACCGCCTTGTCTGCCACTCAAGCTTCTTTCAGTTGTACCATTGGATTTGATGTCATGAAGACAAATAGATAAAACACAAGAACAGATTGGCAATTTCGGACAAAACATCCGACAAAGCAAAAGGGACTCACTCACACCATCTATGAGGCAAAGACCCCACAATAGAGGATTTGAGGGCATTTGTGGAACAGCACAACTTCAGCTGAAATTGGATTGACTCATACACCCAGCTGGCAGGTTGCAGTTGGCTGGGAAGTTGGATTCCCCTCAATGAGGACCCTATAGGGTATTGTTGGACACACAATCAGTAGCCAAGCTTCAGGGTAAGAAGTCGTGGGTAAACACCTCACATCTGGAACACATCAAACTGGGAGAGCACTGAGGTGATCTGCTGGTAACCTCTTCCTGTGGAACCCAACTTGATGCTACAACACACAAAAGTTCATGTCCTGGAAGATGTTAAGTGAAACTGCTGAATCTCAGTCCAAGAGAGTGAAAATACTCCATGAGATGATATTCATTTATTTGTTGAGTTTTGATCGCCTAATATCAAGTGCCGTTGTTAAATAGTTCAGGCAGAACACGACATCCAATCAATATGGTGCAATTCAGTTTAATGATCATGTTTTTATTGTGTACATCATACTGAAGCTGAACAGTACCTGGATATGTCAATTATCAGAAATGTGTCTCAAATGTACTCTGATTCTGTATTTTTGGCTCGAGTTTATCATCATGCTGGGTTTGTTGTTTTTTTTTTCCCCATAATCCCATTTATTGCAGGGTGGAATAAGTCTCCAACAAGTGACATTTAATTGGTCTGAATGATTTTCATTGTGTTATTGGCAAAATACTAAAACGATAGGTATAGAAGTTAGGAAAGAGATTTGTCATTTCTTATTGCTCCATTCATTTAATTATTTCTGCTTATACATGCAATGCATTGCAAGTTAGACGCCTTCCTCATCTCCTTCTCCTCATAAGGTTGCTTGCCGCTATGCTTCTTGCGTAATTAAGATTCTTTGGTTTCTAATATAAAATTAAGAGGGATTTTTTGTCATGTTCTTACGTATTACATTAGTTTAAAGCCATGTGTGTAATATAATTATGCTGTTTATGGAACACACTGTGGTGCTCTGTGTGAGGTGAAATGGCTGTTCAAGTGTAACACCAACTACAGTAACAGGTGGTTCTTGGACTGTGTGTAAGACTGGATGCACAGAGCATGTGTGGTCAGAAGGTTACCTTCTGAATGGAAAATTAGAGAGACTCAGCCTTAATAAAGCAGCAATAAACCACAAACTTCTTTCATGTCTCGTGTCTGAACTTGATCTTAATATACCTAATGTAATATACTTCTGTTCCTATATACCCCTAATATACCTCTGTTCAACACTGGTGTGTATCAGTCTCTGAATGCTGCCGAATGATGAAACACTCTTTCCTTATTTTGAACAGGGTCCCCATTTCCAGCTGGGGTCACTGCAGTAAACTGCAGACAAGACTAGGATTTCTAGTGTCTGCAGGTCTAACAGCAGCTTTCAAGCTAACTGGAAGTTGTACTGTATCTGATTTGGGTTCATTTACTCTTGTTAACCAGGGGTTACATGCAGTAACACCCAAC